TGCGCTCCAAATCATTCACCGGGCAAGAAACAATGCAAGCAGCTTGCCAAAAAAACAAACCCTAGACAAAAGCTAGGAAGAAGAGCATTTATAAGAAGATAATCAATTCAAGATCACCTTCATTGCTCTTGATTGAAATAAGGACCCGTTCACGCCGCAACCAAGCGGAAAAATCAAGCCTACCGCTAAGCAAAGGAAAAGCAAAAGAAAGGAGAAAAAAAGGAAGCCGATGAGAAGAAGAGGGGAGGAAGCAGTCTGGCCGCACTCACTGCTGCCGCACGACCATCCCGACTATCTCATTGGGGTTTTGTGTGTCAAACTACTCCATCCAGACCTAAAGGCGAAAGCTTATAAATGAAAAGTAAATAATTAGGAGACATAAATGAAATACAGTTAGACCCCAGCGGTCATTTCCACAAATGATATACATGTGAGATGGGCTTATACATCGTCCTATATTATAGAAAAACGGCCCAAATAACAATGGGCCACTGACGGTCTTCCTCTTTTAGCTAGTCCAAGTCGAAGCTTGTCACATAACTTCGACCTTGCAAACTCAGATTCAAAAGTACTTTTTGTACACACTATTTTGGTGTACACACTTTTAAACATGTTTGTGTAGGCTTTTTTGTCTATCCCAGAGAAAATACGTGTAAAAAACCTACACAAACATATGTAAGAGTGTGTACACAAAAAAGTATGTACAACAACAATGACTCATGATATTTTTACTTGGATTGTAATTTGCTGGTCTGGTCTGATCTGGTCTGGGACAAATTACAGTCCAAGTAAAACATCCTCATTCAGATTGCCCATCGTCGTCTGTTGGCTGTAGCTCTGTCCAAAAGCAGGGGATGGTCTAGCCCAGCCCAATTTGTTTTGGTTTTATTATTAGGGAAATTTTCACAACTAGCTTCACAATAGGAAAAAATTTCAGTTTTGTCACCCGTTATTTTTTCTTTCAAACGTAGACCAAGACACATTGTTCTTTCACAAATAGCTCATATGTATTAAACTCCACTACTGGAGCATATTTTTCTAAGCTCCGTAAGATTCCTTATCTGCAATTCTACACCATATTCGTTAAACTACGTAGTATAATCTTCAAGATTTATTCAACCATCTAATTATTTTCCGAAAATAATACAAGTCTAAAATATAAAATAAAGTTTAAAAAATAAATAAATCACGTAAACTAATAAAACATACTCTCCATATTTAAATTTTTTTTTGCACTTTTCTTTTTGGGGTGTATTTCAAATTTTGTTACATTTTTCTATTAGGTAACATTTTCCTTTAAAATATTCAATTACCCATACTTTTTCTATTTTTATCTTACCTTTTCTACTTTTCACACTCTCTCCTATTTTTCTACACTATTCAGTATCTCTACTATTTCTCCTTTAAATATTATGTCAATACCTAATGTAGTGATCTTTTAAATTTGAAAAGGGTATCAAAAAGCACATAATAAAATATCCAGAACTTCAAGATTGTAAATTAAATTTAAAAATTATCAATTGAATCAAGAATTTAAAGAATAAACCAAACAATATGAGAAAATGTATGGAAAATTTAGATATAAGAACTCAAAATGTTGAAAAATATTTAAACAATTTAGAATGTGGGAATGTTGCGAAAAAGTACGATGTGCCGTATTTTAATTTTTTTGAAATACTTCATAATAAACTCCATAACTTATATAAAAATATTATATGGTCAAAATATAAAAACAATTTTCTTAAAAAATTAATAAAAATGGAAAATACGTAGTATATAAATAAAAATGTATGAAAATTCTGAAAAATAAAAAAGGGTGTAAATTATTATTTTTAAATCTAAAATATTTACAATTATTATGAAAAATATATAAAATATTTTTTTGAAACTATTAAAAAACAAAAAAAAAATAACTACAGCTTTTAAAATATTAATTTTTCTTAATAAAGTAGAAAAATTCTAGAATGTACTCCGTATATTTTAAAAAATAATTAGAGCTTTCTAAATTGTAAACTTGTTTAGAAAAATATAAAATAAATTCTTGAAAAATGTGAAAAAATAATAAATAATGTGGATTTTGTGAATTGGTAATATTTTTTGTCGCAAATTTAATTAAAATCGTTCGGGCATATTTTTTGTTGCCTATTGTTTTATCATGTTTATTTTTGTTGACAAATTCACAAATTGTGTATTCTGAAAACATTCTAAGAATAAAAATATGAGATTTAAAAAAAATTAAAAAAATCAAATTAAATTTAACAAGATTCTCATAACAAAAAAAAACAGTAAACTAAAAAGTGCAAATATTTAAAATTAAAAATTGGAAAAATAGAATAACGAAAATAAAATATTATAAATTCAAAAAATTATACTACATAATTAATAATTTCTACATTCTAGTTGTTATTATTAGTTGCATTTAATTACTACTTTTAATTTGTTGCATATTGTTTCTTTGTGTGTTTTTGTTGATAACTTTGATTTCTTTGTTGTTTCTTTTTGTTGATTCATAAATTCAAATGTATATATGTGTGTGTGATTTTTTGATTCCAAAAAAGTAATGAATATAAATATAATTCTAAATTGACAAAAAAAAAAAAACAATAATAAAAAAACAATAAGCAACACGATACAACAAAAAACAACAAGATGCAACAAAAAACAACACGTCAACATGATGCAACAAAAACAACACGATGTAACAAAAAACAACACGATGTAACCAAAAACAATACGATGAAACAAAAAGCAACAAAATAAAACAAAGAGAAACAAAAAGGAAAAAAAACATACAATATAGTCATTTAAACTTGATTTTTCATATTCAATTATTAGAATTACAAATATCATTGCCCAACATATAAAGAGTTTACAACCAAGCTCATTTTCTAAAACGGAGTATAAATTTACAAGTAGACTTGGGAAACCGGTTACAAGTAAAAAAACAATATGCAAGGCAGAAATTAAGTTGAAATATACAAATCGGTTACTTTATAGTCTTCATATTCAAATTGTATTATTGTAATCACAATAGGAATAAGTAACTAAGTAAAGACTACTAAAAAACGTAGACTAGTAAGTAGTAACCATGATTTCCAGGAATGACAAAACACTGAGGCCCTCCCTTCATAATGCTTCTATTCAGAAATCCTATAAGAAAGTTCTGGTTTGTTTACAACAATATGCTCATCTTTATACCATGTTGGTGGCTGAAGAGTGTACTCAAAGAGGCAGATCTGTAAAAGCTGGATGTTGAGTCCTACTTCACTAAGAAGGTACTTTATTGATCACTCAAGTTATGTGTGTCCAGATACTCTCAAGGACAAAAACTTTAGCATCAATGAATGAATGAAATACACCTCTAATATTATGAAAGTGGGATGATCTGTAAGTTTAAGTTTAAGTTTGAGTCAACTTAGAACATAGTAGTTGAGGCAGAAGAGAGCAGTCCTGCAAAACAGTAAAACCTCCTTCCTGTGATGGTAGTATCTGTATACAAACACTAATGTAAGTGGAATCAATAATTAAAATTACATGATTCAATTACTAATAAGATTAAGAGCTTCTCAAGAAGAACATGTTGAATCATCTTGTTCACTCTCGCTCTAAAAAACAGACTAGCCCGGTCACGGTATAAACAGAGAATCAATATATAAGAATGAAAACTTTCAGAAAATTCTTATTTTGATATTAAACAAATCCTTAAAGTCAAAGAGATTCTAAAACAAACAAGAGAACTCATACTACACCAACTTTTCTATGAAATACTACATATATAAATGAAGAAAAATTAATACCATATAAGGTCCTGAAAAAACTTTCAAGAGACACTCCAGTGAAGCAGAGCCCAGGCTCAAAGCTTTATGACAAGAGCAGAATTCTCTTAAAAGAAATGAAAAGGAAACACTAATGTAATGAAATTTGATGCAACTTAACACGAGGAATAATGAGAGGAGCACAATAAGCTAGGTACATATATAAGAGGACATTTAGATCTTATATAACAATCATTATGCAACAACTATCGTTAAAGCACAACAAGGTTTTTTATACCGCCACCCGGTGGTATACAAAAAAACAATATGCAAGGGCTCTGCTTCGTCACCCGCCGCTTCGCAGAGCCGCTGTGCTTTAAAGAGAATGAAGCAGTAAGTCATCAATGAAGCAGGTCAAAAAATTAAACGAATTAGAATGAAGATGATCTATGGCATATGTATATACACAAACGAATTACATTTTTCAGAATCCATTCAAACACACATAGACATATATATTATAATGAATAAGTAAACCGAGAGAGAGGAGATAAAACCTCAAAGAAGTTTGTTGAAGATGAGGATCTGGTGAGATGAAATAGAAACATAAGTAACGTAATGAATGTACACTGCCAGTGAGAGCTAGGGTTGAATCTAAACTGATTGTCAAGCATTTCGGTCCATCTATATGACATGAATTCCAAAAAATAGAATTCAATTTCTGCAAAAAATGGAAAATCTGCTTAGAAAAGGAAATCAGATGTGGAATTACAGGTGTCGAATGAAGAACCTGGCCTGACTCTCAGCCTAGGTGCGAATCGACTCAACGGCCACCGGCGAATAGTATTTGAATATGAACTCTGCCGCCTTTGTCATAACGCCACCCGCCGCTTCGCATAGCCGCTGCTCGCAACACATTCCTCCAGCGCCGCAAGTCTCCCCTTGAATGATCTCCACTTCGTCGCGACCTCACTCTCCATGTGATCTCAATCTGAAGGGGGTGCGTCTCTCTCGTATAGGAATCGATAGAGGTAGAAGACGAGAAAGGTGCAGGTTATTTTTTAAATAAAAAAACAAAATTGAAAACAAAAAAGTCTAAAAGTGAAAAGAAAAAACTGTTGAGACATTAATGATATATGGGCCACAAAAGTGGCCCAAACGGGAAATTTCCACTTATTATTATGGGTATAGGTTTAATGCCCAACCCACCCTGAAATTCATGTCCAGCCTACCCAAAATTCATGTCCAGACTACTCCAAATTCATGTCCATCCCAAGTCTACCAGACTTATTACCCAATACCCGACCTGCGACCTCCTGGCTCCTGCGAACTGTGAAGCGCTAGATTGTGAGAAGAGGAGCTGCGAGCCTGTGACGAAGACGGAAGACACGAACACGGAACGTCAGCCGACCTGCGGTCACCAGCCGCGCCGCTGCGACACCGCTTGTCGTCTACCCGTCCAGGTCCCTGCGTTCCAACGCAGTCCAGGCGTCCAGGACCAGCACTCTGCACTCTAGTCTCTACTCTCCAGCCGTGCCACCGTGGATTTCGGACTCCAGCCCCAGCTCCACTGCTCCAACCTCCACTCCCCAGGTATACTCTAAGGTGTCGTTTGGGTAACAGCGAGGTACACCAAAACGCCGTTTTCTATCAACAGTAAACGCTGCTAAATGCAGCGTTTTGCCCACTGATCTGCTGAAATACAAACAGGCCCTAAATCTCTGATGCTCTTTTAATGTATATTTGTTTTTTAATTTTGTAATTGTATTTGATTATTAGTTTATTTTTTGAGTAGATAATGAAACAGCATTTATTAATTATAAATTTATAATGATTAAAGGTTGTTTTTTGACAAAAAAAGATTTGTATTGTCAAAATGATTAAAGATAAAATCATAGAATTAAAGATTAGGGAATGATTTATTTATTATACAGTTGAATATTAGAGAATGATTTATTTATTGTGTGCACATGAAAGAAAGAATTAAAATTTTCAATTGAATTTTGAAACCGGGAATACTTATTAATTTTACGTACACCAATTGTTTTTTACTTATATGTTTTATTAGTAGTATTAAATTCCTATAATTTATGAGTTATTGATAGGATGGACTCCGGATCGAACGGAATATCACTATGTTCGTTAAATTAAATTTGAAAACACTCTCGAACTCGAGTAGTTTAAAAAGCTCGATTCAATAACATCCATACACTAAAACTTCTATGTGTAGTAACAATTTTTTATACTGCTTAGTTCACCCCAACCTTCATTCCTGGATCCGCCACTATTCTGTCACTGTGAATCAGTCACACGCTCACGCCGGCCGATATTCGCCAGAATTGTTGCCCCAATCAGCCAATCCTCTGAGTCTTTAACGTGCAATTGTCTGCCGCAGACCGCACTGCGCCTCTGCCCCTGCTTTGTTCTTCCAAATTCCTACTTCAAGTATATACGTAATATTTTACTGTCAGTTGCATTTTTGTTATATTTTTAAGTTCAGCTTTATTTCCAAAGGTTGATGTGTTTTTGCTGTGAGTTCAGAAAGATTGCTCCCTAAAACCCACAATCTGATTTTTTTAGTGTGAGGGTTTCTTGAGTTGAAAAACCAGCAACATTCTGTGAAACTGTTATTTCCTGTGTACTTTTTTTTATTTTTTTTGTTCTAGGTATTAAATTTACAGCGAATAAGAATATAAAGTATCATAGTATGTTAGTTACTTCGATCGCTTTGACTGCTAACACTAAAATTTGTTGAATGGGATGGTTCTTCTGAAATTGATGAACTTTTGCCTGAGGCGCCTGAATTGGTTAACGTATGGAAAAATTATATTTAAAATATACTTTATTAATAAAATAAAGAACAAGTTATATAAAAAATAGTTAAAATGGTGATCTAGAGTAACTTAAGCCACTTCAACTAGAAAAATAACTCTAACCTTACTTATTTTGATTATTAAAATTATTAAAATAATATTAAAATTAAATTTGTGATAATTTTAATTTTAATTTAGTTTCTAACACCCAAAAGTTAAGGGCTAGATCCACCACTGATTTGGCTCCCGATAATGTGGTTCTATGTTCAGTATGATCACCATTTTTTCCAGACAGGATGTTGTTCTATACTGTAATATTGCGAGGTGTAGCACGCCTATCACCTTTTATTTTTAAGACCTTTCGTATTTAACTTTTGTACTACCTTACCATTTATTGAAACACGACAGCTGTTTTGCTTATTATTCAGTTTACTAAGAGCCCATTTGGTAGCACTGAAATTGGTAGAATTAGCTTATTCTGCTGAAATTTATGAAGCTTTGGCTAAAGTAGCTCGATTGATTAATTCTGCTCATTTATGAAAAAATTATATTTAAAATATATTTTATTAATAAAATAAAGACAAAATAAAGAAAGAATAATATAAAAATAATCAAAATGGTCCTTTGTCGTCTCCAGCGTGCAAAAGTTACGTGTTTGGTGAAAAAATTGACTGGTAAGACCATTTGTAGTGGTTAGGAGGCTAAAAAGCTAAAAATGGACTCCGTCCATATGAAAACAGTGTTTAGACTCCTATTCCTTGCATCCCAGCACCGTCAATAAAATACACTCAACATATTTTTTCACATATCAATTTAGTAAAACATTAGTTAAATCATTATAAGTAATATTTTCAATTTACTTTTTTCCCTAAATAATTATGAAATAAAAAATACATATTTTGATGTAAAAATAAATAAATTTCATTTTTTTTATGTTTTTCGGTTAACAAAAAAGAATTTAGTCCAAGTGAAGTTTTATTATGGAATATTCAGTTCTGTGTAGAGGCTCCATGAATTAAAAATTTGTGTTTTGTGTTTTTTCAGGCTCAAGAAAATTCCAATAGTTAAAACATAAGTTTTTTTTTTTTTCATTTTATAATGATATGTTGGTGTCATATGAAAGATAATAAAAATTCATTGATTTTGATATATCTTTTGAAAAATTTGGAGAACAAATAAAAAAGTTATAAGAGTTTTAAAAAATTTGGAAATAGAATGATGCAGGGATGGCATCATCCTCACATTCATACAATGCATTCTCGGTCATTCCCTTCCCTATTTCTTTTCTTTTTCCTTTTTCCACTCCTACCAACCCACCCTCTATTTCTAACACCCTCCATCCCCTCTTCCATTTTTAATACCCTATTTAGCCTACCACTACATGAAATTAGGAGTCCAAAAGTTCCATCTTTAACATTTTGGACTCCTAATACTACACCACTCCAAATGGCCTAAGGGCCGTAAGGCTAATAAGACGAAAAACAATGACCAAAACAGGATCTAAGACTTCCATCTATGAAAACTTCGCAGATTGATGGTTTACTATCAAGTTTTGTTCCAATTATCATTTTTTTTATGTTACTAAGATCTATTTGAATGCTTTACAACCATATTACCATCTAGTATGATATTTAACTATTATTACTATGTATATAATTTATTTTACCTAATCCATTTGTTTTCACTATTTACTGCAGGGCTATAGATTGTATTGATATAGCAGTCATTACCCTTTCGACCATAATCTGCTATCCGCTATTGATAACATTGATTCCAGGTGCAAAATTGCTGAAAGGGTTTCTATGGATGGTCTGAAACAAAGCGAGGCGAATCTTGTGGTATATGTGCACCCATCGAAGTCCATGAATGTCAAGGATGCTGTCTATCACGAACTAAGCTCCATGCTCTTCAAGTATTTCACCCTCACCTTTTCTTCCACAATTTGATCTCCTAACCTTGTGTTTATGTGTGTATATATGCCACATAGTTTTCTGTTTATTTTAACCTTTAAATTAAATTAGTGTGGTCTTCAATTGAAGGGGAAGGTTTTTCGTGTTCTTTGCAAGTTTGTTAATTTAATGATGTTTTTGGCATTGGCTTATCATGCCTTTTCATTATTATAATATTATTACAACCTCTGTATTGAAACGTGTTCTACACTTTCCTTTTTGGGATGTATTTTAATTTTTGCTACACTTTCCCCTTTTGGTAAGTTTTCATGTAAAAATACTCAATTACCCTTACCTTTTCTACTTTTATACTTATTTTTTGCAAGTTTTCGTCTTCTCTCTCATACTTTTCTTCCCCCTCTCCTACTCTTTGTACACTATTTCATTACTCCTACTACTTTTTCCTTAAACATTGTGCTAGATCTTATTGTAGCAAACATTTCAATACAGAGGGAGTATTATTTGCGCATTAGCGCATTGGGTGCTTAGTGTGTTGAGTTTGGTTTGAAAGTACAAGAAGGGAGAGGGATGGAAAAGGCTCCCCTCTCCTCATTTGGTTAAGAATATTTGGAGGCAGAGGAGAGCAACCAAAGTTCTCCCTCCTCTCCTTATATCTATAATGAGTTTTGGAAAGGAAACAATGCACATTTAGAACCTTTACCCTCGCTAGCAAAACAAAACAAAGACACAAAAACACTTACTCTCTACCTTTCAACCAACATAACTAAGTGATTTTCTTTCACCTTTTTTTCCTCTTGCAAAGGTTTGATGAAGCTTTAGATGGTGTGGTACTGTCCTACAAAACAAAGTTTGATAGTAAGCTGGCAAAGATTCTACCAGGGATTCACCCATATTTTGGTGTGAGATTTCAAGCACAGCTGTTACTGTTTTCTCCAAAGCTGAATATGCTTTTAGGTGGTCCTGATTTTATCTATCCCTTCCTTAGAATTTCAAGTTCTTGGCCGCAATACTGCATAACTTATGTTCTGGTATTAACTTATAATTACCAATGTGGTTTACCAGAAGGAGAGGTAGTGAAAGTTTGTCCACAGTCAATTCACATAATTGTTCTTGGATTTTCATCTGCTATTATATCGGACGATGACATGCATGGGAAATTCAAATATAAGATTGTAAGCAACCTGAAATTGCTCTTCATTGTAATTCATATCCTAAGTTAGTGACTATTTTTGTTTTTTAACGCGTTTGTTTTCGCAGAAACATGGAAAGGAAGTGTTTGTTAGCAAATCTCACAAGAGACATAAGATTAAAGTTGGAACAATTGTACGTTTCTCAGTGAAGAGGTAAATGGATTTTTGTAATTGTTTTGCCCTTTCACCCTTTTCATTACTCTAGATCTTGCGGGATGTGTTTTGACTTGCCCGAATTATTGTGGGTTGACATAGGCAATGAATGTGTATAACTTGGTGAAAACGCTCATACAAACTACACACTCTTCCTTTCTACACAAACATAATGCAATTTTGTTCTTTAACTTTAATCCAATTTTACAGTTAAAGAAAGTGCACCTTTAAACTTCTAAGTAATTGCATTTTTAATTTCCATGCTCTGCATTTGTAACTTTAATATTTTGAACTTTAGCTAAGATGTTTAATACAAGGCTCATAACTCTCTCCTTGTTACCATCCAGATTTAAAAAGTTTCACAATGTGATTGCAACATGCAAGGTTCATAACTCGCTCTTATCATCATAACCTTTTTGGGATGTCCCAAAAAGTTCTTCCCATTTCCCTTTTTGGAAACGTCTGTGTGGCTACCATTAATTTACCTTTTTCTTACTCAACCACAACCATACATTTCCACTTTATTTTTACTTTCTTAAACTCCGATCCAAGTCAAACCGAGAAGTATTTTGTTAGACGGAGGGAGTATCTTTTTATTTTCTTTATGTATCTTATGTTCTTTATCCTTTTTTCCTTTTTATCTTGTTGCTTATTCTTTTTATCTTATTGTTTATTCTTTTTATCTTATCATTTTTACCTTTATCTCATTTTTTAATCTCATCTTATCCTTTTATCTTTCTTATCTTTCTTTTCTTTTTAGCTCCAATTTCATGTGTCAATTCATGCTAGCCAACCCCAAACTCTCTTGGGGCTAAGGCTTGGATGTTGTGAAAGTTAAGCGCTAGGTTTTTATTTATTCTGAGAAATCTGGTACAGGAAAATGTCTTCACATATTTATGTTTTTTTTGTATTTTTTAAGATAGCAGTCACAAAATATCTCACAGCACTATACCTTTTTATATTTTAAGATTGCATTTTTGCCAACTTTTTTGTAGTTCTTTTTATTGGAAATGGATGTTAATCTCTTTTTTGAAATCAAATAATATAAAATCGGTAATTCATATACTATAAATCGTATTATATTTTTGAACGTTTTATATTCAATTATTCCATATGCTAGCCAAGCCTTGGATATCCACCGACCACCATGACAACCCTGACCGGCACATATAAATGGTTAAGTTCAAACAGGGCCGAAAGGTTGCAAGACTATCTTATCAACTAATAAATATCCGAGGCCCTTGTAAAGCACGAGTTTTCCTATTCAGGTCTCTAGTATAGTATTTCATTTTGATTGTGTACCTCAAAAGCACAAGAGCCCTAGCGCATTAAACCCATCCATACGCAAGAGATGCGCTCTTTTCAGAGGCATAAGGCAAGAGTGCTTAATGCATATTGACCTGTTTCCATCTGGACTTCATTTTCCCATCCAATAATGGGCTTTAGTCTAGCTATTTAAAAGACCATATACAGATGCAGTGCCTAAGTGCCTAACATCCAAAACAATTATCATTGCACTCAAGTGTTCAATAACATTCATATCACGAGGATACTGCATAAGCAAAATATGGAGCATAATGATTTATTTTTGTTCAAGGGTTCTTTTTTCCCTGCTTGGCTGCTCCAATTTCAAACATTTAGATAATTTGTACTTTTGTAGTCACATAGCTTCTAGTATAGACTGAAAAAGTGCATGTAAAATCATAACCTGAATAATCAAATGTCCTTTGGTAACTTGAGTTAATTATGCTAAAATTTTCATTCAATATATGGTTACAACAGCTTTAAAATGAGTTAGAACACTGTTTAGTTCAATACTTCATTCACCCAACTTATTACTCCTTCCGCCCTACTATAATTGCCCCATTTTTCCTTTTACGTCCCTCCCACTAAGGTTGTCTCATACCATATTTGGTAATATTTGTGTAATTCTAACTCATTTTTACTTCATTCACACCCAGGTAGTAATATCTAGATTCATTATACTCATCTAGCTTTGCAAAACAAGCTATCAAATAGGGATAACTTAAAAATTCGTTTTATCAAACTTTTCTCCCTTTTCCTCCAACCAAACACAAATGTTTATCAAAACCCTTCCTTCCCCTAACCTCCTTGTCTCTCCCCTCTCCTCCCCTCCATTGAACCAAACAGGGCCTTCAAATCTTCAACTATAGAGAAGATAAGACAAGACAGAGTGTTCATAAATGAGATTCAAAGGCTAGTGGTGCAATGTAACTACGCAAGGTTGAACACTCATGAATCTGGGATTTCCCGTCTCATATCAAAGAACCATTCTGATATGTGCTAGTAAAGTCAACTGGGTGCTACTAGAGTATCTGTAGCGGAGCATATGACAGTAGCAGAAATAGCGGCCCCTATTGCGCGGTGCTATTGAATTTCTGAGTTGTCTGCTTTATAATAAGAGATTTTTTCAGGAAATTTTGGTTTTATATTTTTTTAGAATAAAAAGTAACCCCATTAAAACCCATCACAGCCTCCCAGGCTCCCAACACTCTTAAATATCGTTGTTAGTCGTATCTATTCTGCTTCTTCGATACCAGAGTCATGGCTCAAAAAACTAGACACCAAACCAGAAAATCTGTGATGACAGCCTTTCAACCTTGCTTCTTCAACTACTTTTGAGTACTACTGCTCTTCTACTTTCAACTCTTCATACTCATCTACCACTAGTCTCGAAGTTTGTTTAGTACGGAATAATGTTTTAAAAGGCGCTAGGCGCTAGTCGGGCGCCAGCCCAGTGCCTAGCGCCTAGGCGGCTAGTCGGGCGCCTAGTCGGAGATTAGTCGGAGACATATAAATTGCATTTGTATCTATATTTTTGCATAAATATGATAAGTAATATGATATGATTAACACATTTAATGATACGTAGTATATGATAACTAATTTCTTAACTTCATTATGATATAAATATAAATAATGATACAATTTATGTATATATACAAACATATATAGTTTTATCTTAATATACAACTTCATTTCTGTATATCTATGACTAAAGTTAAAGTTCGTATATCGCTTAGAAAATTACAATTAAAAAGTAAAGTAATGTTCGGCGAATCTAGACGGCCTAGGCGGCTGATTAGGCGCTCTAGACCGGCAACTAGGCGCCATAGGCGGCCGACTAATTCACCTAGACGGTAAATCAATTAGTCGGAGCGCCTAGACTAAAATCGGGGCGCCCGACCACCGCGTAGCGCCTAGGCGGGGACTAGTCGGACGCCTAGAATGATTTTTAGAACAGAGGTACGGAACCTACCTTCATGTTAAAGTCCACATGAGATAACCTTTATCATGATTATAAGTGGAATAGTAAGAAATATTCTAATATGAATGTCATGAAGTTTGATATTTTGAGTAGTATTTGCCATTTTATGTAATTATATGTATACATATAATCTTGTATTCTGTATATAAGTTATCCAAATAGCGGTCATCTTGCTATCTGCTGTACCTCTATAGTGTTTTCGAGGTAGGTCCTTCCTCTCCGCTATCAGGGATTGACAAAACTGATACGTAGTATTTACCAAAGAACCAAAAAAATTAATAGGACACCGGACTACCGATTTTTTATATTATGGTACCGGTTGTCTACTGAGAACCATCCCAGAGTTATACTGAACTGCTAAAAGCTGTACCTAATAAGTGGTCACACACACACATTTTGGGGATTAAAATTCGAACCTTTGGCTGGAGGGAGTAAAAGGAGAAACGAGTGTTGAATATGACAACAGTTACACTTGACAGACATAGGCAAATGTGAGTTCTAACAATCAATTCACAATGTTTAAGGCTCACTGATTTCATTTTAACCTGCCGCTTTAGCTTTTTCTATCATTGATATCTTTAAGTAACCCCAAACATAATTCTTCTACTGTATAATACAACAACAACATTACCACAGTGCCGCAAAGGCTCCCAACTACCGTGGGGTAAGGGGGGGGGGAGTCAGATGTACGCAACCTTACCCTTGTACTAAATCACAAAGAGAACGTTTCCGGATGACCCCAAGATGAAAATTGCATGAAATGACTGATGCTTCATAACAAAGAAGCGCAAACATTTTAATGAGCCATATAATATATTCACACATGTGGTTCTTAAACTGCAGCAGGACCACTTACAAACTAAGATCCAATGGGGGCTATTCCTTTACTTTTAACAGCTGCATTAGAGGTAGCCAAAGCAGTAGATGCTGCAGCCTCCACATAAGCTGCTAGATTAGGTAGGTTAGGAAGGAGGAACATGATTAGGTTTGGATGTCAACATGTCATACTGCTCTGCACAGGAAACAACTGCTCTGGCCTAGTCCGGCCCATGTAGGTAGTGCCAGTGAATTGGGCCCCCAATTGACGGAGGGCCTCCATTTTTTATTAGCCCATTAGAAAATAGATTTTTATTATTTAGCCTGTTAGGCAAAAATTCATTATTTTTTGGCTTGAGAATATGATGGAATAAAGCAAAATGACTCACTAAACTGTCTGCGCTTCTTTGTTATGAAGCAGCAGTCAGTCCATGCAATTTTGGACGCGATTTTCACTATGGGTCATCCGGAAACAGTCTCTCTGTGCTTTAGTACAAGGGTAAGACTGCGTACATCCGACCCCCCTACCCCACCGTAGGTGGGAGCCCTTGCGGCACTGGGGTAAATGAAAATGATGAGCCTGTTAGGCAATCGGAAATTGAAAGTTCTTTACTTCATCTGTTGTTCGACCTTCCGGAAACCAGAAGAGCTCATCCGGGAACCATAACGACTCAACTTCTCCTTTATCGATCAAACTCTTCCGGTCTTCCCCTTCATTAAATTGCATCTCATACTCTGTGCATCAGGACTCTATCTCCTCTTTCACGACAAATAAGTTGTTTCTCTCCTTTCTTCTTGCACATCTTCTCTTAATCTGACTATATTACGAGTGCTCTGTTTTGAACTTCTGCTTTGACTCATGCATTTATGCTCCCATCGCAGATAGAGTATTCTGTTGCTCTGTGCTCATACCCTATGTTTGTTTCTTTTTTATACTCCCTCCGTTCCATAAAACTTGGCCATATTGACTTTTCTTGGTCAATGATGGTCCTGTTTGATCTTGATACTTTTTAATATGAAATTATTTCAAATATTAAAATGATATGAAACTGTTCTTTGTTAAAAGTACTTTCATAAAAAGTACTACTTCCATCCCATAATGATTCGAGTTTTAAGAAAGTAAAGGATAAAGTAAGAAAGAAAGAGTAAGATGGGTCCACAAAAAATAAAAGGTAAAATGATAGATAAAAGGATAAAGTAGGAAAGTAAAAAGTTAGTGGAGTTACATTTAGGAAAGCGTTTATACAAATATAATAACTAAAACCTTTGTCCAAAGTTTATTATCATTGAACAAAAAAAGTCAAATTGGCCAAGTTATGTGGGACTGAGAGAGTATGTTAGTTAATTACTTACTATGAGTTTATGACAGTATGACTATATGTGTTAGAGCAGTGTAGCAGCCTTTGATAATGGCTATATGTGTTATACCACTATGTCTAAATTTTGTGAGGCGCCTGCCTCGCGCCTCGGCTAAATTTAACAATAACTCCTAATGCCGCCCCACACCTTTTATATTTAAGGTACCCATGTAAGAGCTTGCTTACTTTTGATTTATTTATTAAGTTATATTTAGATTAAGTGACCGTTGTTTTAAGAGATTCTTTATTTTGTGTGTTATAGTAACTGTGAATTGGCTGAATCATGGTTATTTTCGGGCTGCCTTGTGCCTTGTCAATGAGAAATGTCACTTATCAACTCACATGTATTCCATAACAGGTTGTAAAACATTTGCTGTGTAGTCATCTTAATAAGGATAAGTAATACGGAGTACTTTGTATAGAATGTTAACAATGTTTAAGCAAATTTTTGTCTATATTAAATAGTCTTGTTTCCAATTAAGTCCCTGTCCCGTTTAAGCTCATTAAGTCACAAGTAAACAGCCATCAGACATTATGGACTTCCAACCCAATCAGAGTCGGAAAAGACTTGCACAACCATCCCAGCTAACCAAGATCAGCACTCTAGACTAATATGTCACTCATATATTTTTGTACTAGGAATAAATATCATCCCCATATACTAATACATAAAATAGTCTTCTCAGTTTTGTTGTAGATACTCCGTATAAAAAGATAAATAACATGAAATGCATTTAATTAGCTTTTGTGCTCTAAATATAACTTAATGGGCTTGCTAAATTTTGTGTCCTTTCACCCACTCCCAATGGAAATTGATGTTCAACCAGCCCAATAATCGACTTCACTTGAAAACGATCTGCCGGAATGGTTGAAAAAGGGTGGCTTGGGTGTGACGTCTTTGTTCACCCTTCTAATATATTTAGCTTATGATGAATAAACACTTCTTGCAGTTTTGATGAAGAGATACTACACATATGCGGATCATTGAATCTAGCTGGAACTGGAAGTGTTGCTTGGTTGGAACAACATGCATCAGAGATCATAGAGAGGTAGACATCGTTACAACATGTATACTCCATCGGTTCCATATATTAAGTTCATGTTTCCATTTTCGAAGTTTGTTTCCGTTTGTTTCTGTTTGACTGTTGGCGAGGTTGACTCACCACTAATAATATTTAAATCAGCACTAACTATAATTATATTCAACCGCAAGAACCTAATTTTAAACGTCAAGATTAAAAAGGGGTCAAGTTGAAAAGGGAGTGAATGAAAACATTATTCTGGGATGGAGATATTTTTGATTTTATGATTTTATAAATTCACATTAAATTGCTCAAATTATGTAATATTATATAACTAACTGTGCTGCTAAAACAAGAGGAAATGAGAGGCCCGTGGAACAACTGCAGACTGACAATGGAAGGATGATGGGTGATGAAGAAACGAATGCACACAGACATATGAAGAAAGTAAAGAGATAACGCAAGTTGGGGTGAGTTGACTTTTCCCCTTCCTCACAAGTTGGAATAGTGTTAGTGTGTTACCATTGTTTGTCTCTAGAGAGCATGGGCGAACTGTTCTATATTTTGTGTGCACTAAGTTCCTCAGTTAATAGAGTTAAAAAGGTAGCTGAATGAGACAATGACCCATTTGGACATGGGTGTGTATTATGCTCTCATTAAAACATCTCGTATTTATGTATGGATATATTTATTTTCATCCTCACTGCAACTTCTTTTGGGTGGAAATAGGTTTACTGTTTAATTATAATAACCATCTTCTTGAGGCAGTGTTTTGCGATTGTTTAAAAAAGTTCTTTTCCGCCTTTCACTTCAGAGAAGCGAAAACTAGTGTTGGAACAAGAGGAAGCTTCGCTTCCCTCAATAAATAAAGTCACATAAAAGCTATAAATTTGAAAGTATACTCCATAAATTTCATAGGGGAAGTAAGCGAAGTTTTTAGTAAGATTTAGGGAGTTATTGGATCTACTTCTTTTTTTGCTCCTTCAAGGTTTTGCTCCTTCAAGGAGCGGGAGGAGGTATTTGATGTTTGGGTAAAAGTGGAGAAGCACTTGGTTGCTTCAAATTGCTCCTAGAAGCAACTTTTAGAAAATGAGGAAGACGAGCTTTTGAAAAACGGATTCTGCTTCTTTTAAAAGAGAATCAATGGCAGAATTAATTCCAAACATCTACTTACCAGAACTGGACTAGGACCTCACGGTAGACTAGGCATGGACCGGTACCGGGCTGGGCTCTGGTCCGGTCCAAACTCCAAACCGGGACAAAATTTGTTGGGGTTAGGCCCGGTACCGGCCCGGGATTCTACCCGGGCCGGGCCGGTTTGTTTAATTTTTTTTAGCTTTTCTTATTTATTCCAACCCCCCACCCCCAAACCCCACAAAAACACCCAGCCCAACCCACCTACCCTAGGCCCAAACCTGCCAAAAAAATAAAAAATGAAAAGGCCTGGACCGGTCTCGGACCGGCTGGGCCGGTCCCCATTTTGTGCACCCGGAGCCCGTCCTGAAAACCCCCCTCACCGAGCCGGTTGACCTGGTCCCGGTCCCGGTAGGCAGGTCGGGCTGGTACCGGGCCGGGCTTGTCAACGGGTCATTCAACTCGGACCCGGTCCATCCCTACGGTAGACGACTGTATTGGTCACCCGTTGAACGGTTTCTTACCAGTATGGGTCTAATTAGAGTATGGTTGTGCTTTCTACACAACTCGAAATATGGTCTGAGAAGTGAGAATGTATGCAAGTACTGTAACTACAGTTTGTATTTCTCTTTTAGACTACAAACAAAAATAATATAAAGTCGATTTGAGTATTTTTTTTCATAGCAATTGTTATTTAACATTACAAGAGTCTAATTAAACTTCATTTTGAACTTTTCTTAATTATATTTTAATTTCTGAAAACAGCAAGTAAAATAGAAATAATAGCAACGTAACAGTAATAATTGTAGATGTCGTTCTGACATTTTAGTTATCGTTAACAGTATTATTTTAAAAACTAGTTGATAAATAAAGTACTTCCACCTAATACCCCGGGTCCCATTTTATAAGATATCTAAACTATTCATTTGGTCAACACAAATAACTCTTAATCTCGTACTTTATATATCAAAATTTTATGAAATTTGAATTACTTTTTGCAGGTATTCTAGCGGGTTTAATGTAGTTTCTGAATATGTGATTTTTTTTCTAAAAACAATTTCAGTGCAGACAGGGATCCGTTTGCTTTATCGTCGGTCAAACATCGTAAACCGACAAGTATCTTATAATTCGGGACGGAGGGAGTAGGTGAATAGCATAAGAATAATCTAATACTTTCATGGATTTTACAATACTAATTGATACTAAAATTGTTCATAAAAATAATTTGAATCAACAATGATATTTATAATAATAAATTGTGGTGAATTCAAACTAATGCCCGTTCAATACTCTAAGTCTCAATCCCTACTCACACCTTAACTTTCAAAAAAATTTAATTTCAGGTAACACTTCTATCTTTTAACGTAGAGAGAATCACATATGATGGAAATTGTGTTGAGATTAAACGTGCATTAGTTTGAATTCACTCTAAAAAGAACAAGTAAGGGAAAAGTGAGAGTAGGGGCTGTTAGTGTTAAACAGAGTTTGATTTGAATTCACCATAATTCATTCTTATGAACACTATTGATAGTTCATATGAAACTCTTAGTTAGGTCATTATTGTAGAATTCCTTAAAGTAGGGTTTATTCTTAATAATATGAACCACATATTTATTACGTTAAAAAGAATCAATAATCCCTTTTAAGTTTTAAGACGGTTTGGAAAGTTGACAAATTCTAATGGGATAGGTAAAAATTTTCAAAAAACTAAAAAAAGTTAACCCCATCTTACAAAACTAAATTGAAAGATCAATAAATCAAAAGCTAAAAAGCTAAATAGTACTTCATATGAATTGAAACAGTAAGACTAAAAAAACCAAACAACTCTGGATCCACAAATCATTAGAGATAAGTTGGCCACCGGCAAGTAGTCCTGGACTCGGGCCGGGTGGCCCGACCCGGAACCAGCCCGGGACCGGTATTGTGCTGAACCGCCCCGGTGGCCCGGCCAGTGACCGGTCTGGGTAGGCCCGACCCGGGGGTTCCCGGTGCGGGCTCGGGTCACCCAAGAGCTGAACTGACCCGACCGGTTTGGGCCCGGTTCCGGGCTTTTTATTTTATTTTTTCAATTTTTTTAACTTTTCGGGTTGGGCTGGGTATATTGGGCCATTTGGGGTGGTTTGGGGGGTGGGGGGTGGGGGGTTAATTCAGAAAATGAAAAAAAATAAATTGACCCGAGGCCCGGCTCGAACCCAGTGGCTACCCGGGCGGGTCCCGGGCCCACCAATTCAGAACCAGCGGCCCGCCTAGGCCTAGCCCCGGCCCGGACCCGACCTGGCCCGAATCCAGTCCTACCGGCAATGCAACATACCTTTCAGGTCCTGAATTGATAAAATTCTTCTATTTTTTGAAAAGGAATACTAAAGTAAAGTGAAATACCAATATTTCACTTTATTATACTCAAATTTCAAACACAGCTTCTACTTCTTCAACCATTTTATAAAAAAATTGCAAAGACAAAACAAGACACATAGTCATACAAAAAAGATTATATCAAGGGTTTAAAGGATGTTTTATGTCAAGAATCACATAAATTGATGGGGGTGAATAACTGAATCTATGTCAAGAATCACTCAATCACATAATTATGCGATGAATGGAGTAAAAAAAGTTTATTCATCTCACAATGGAGTAAAAAAAAGTTTACCCCATCTCACATGCATTGAAACATACGTAGTACTACTCTAATGGGTAGCATGTGTTAGTTATTAGTGTGTTAAAGAATCACATTATAAAAGTCGTGTTACAATTATCTGAACACTAAATTTATTGTCAAGAGTTTTTTTTATTACTTTCATTACTGAATTAAATACATAAAAATGGTCAATGACCTATGTTGTCAATGCATGAAGTATATAAGAACAAGTACTATCCATGCTCATAATATTTAATTTGGACTTGGCTTAGACCAAATCAGACTACAAATAATAATAAAATACATATAATAATAGATAATATGACAATAGTTCACATTTTAGCGTATAACCGAAAATTTCAGTCCAATTGAAAAAATAATCCATTTTCATTTACCCCAGTGCCGCAAAGGCTCAGCTCCCACATACGGTGGGGTAATGGGGGGTCGGATGTACGCAGTCTTAACCCTGTACTAAAGCACAGAGAGACTGTTTCTGAATGACCCATAGTGAAAATCGCGTCCAAAATTGCATGGACTGACGGCTGCTTCATAAGAAAGAAGCGTAGACAGTTTAGTGAGCCGTTTTGCTTTATTCCATCATATTCTCAAGCAAAAAAATTGAATCTTTGGTTCCATTGCAAATGATGGAAAAATTGAAATAAATAAATAAATAATATTCCCTATAATATATACGAAGTATAAATATAAAATTGAATGTCAAGTTGGGGTAGGTTAGGTCTACTACTCTCACGTCCCCCATGTTCACCGTACCCATATGATACAAATAACAAATTAAATTTGCAACATATAAAAAAGTACGAACTTTTGGATGCACCACGTGAAACTAAACTTTTATTTACAAAAAAAAAAATCCGGTCACATGCATTAAGAAAAGTGATTTTTATTTATCTTGGCTTTAATTAATTGTATGGCTGGTTTTCCTAACGAATGTTATTACAAGTTTGCATCTCAGGTGGAGCATCATTGCATCTGGCCTGGTAGTGAGACAAAATAAGCTCAGCCGTCGGGGACTAACCTTGTCGGGCTTAGTGACGCAATTATCATAATCACTACTCTAATGGCTGTAAAGCTAAACATAATAAGCATTATTTTAGTGATGATAACGTCACAATAGTGTGTGGAAGTACAAATTACTCCGTAGTAATCAAGTTATCGGCATGTGTTTTACATCTAGGCAATAATTATGATGGCTTTGAATTGATTATCCCGTGCTTTTATTAGCAGTTAGCTAGTGTAAATCCATATCAGGTTACGTTGATTAACTGTTTCTGGAAAGTTTTCAAAATAGGAGTGGAGTAAACATGTTTTCCAGTTCCAAAATAAGATTATTATGTTTTTTTCCCTGAAATAGAAGCAATATGATACTACATACTACATAGTATTCACTGTCATCTTGTAATCATCATCACTATCAAATAGTTTCAGTATTAGACATTAAGCACGACAACATTCACTATCATTAATGTCAATATTTTTCAATCTTGAAAATGTCGACTCCTATTTCGGGAAGAAAAACATAGCAGTCATATTTTAAAATTTCAAAATTTATTACTCCTATTTAGATCGATTTCTCTTCTTTGAACCAGTCTCACATGTATTTATAATTTAAGGAAATTGCCCATCATAAGTACAATGTGATTCAAGTGCACATGTATGATTAATGTTTTATTTATTAAATAAGATTTATTTAGTGTTAAAATACAAATAAAAGCGGATAAAACCACTAATTTTAGTCGTGAATGAAACCTATTTAATTTGCAGAACACATATATAATTTTATTTAAAGAAATGTATTCCGTATTATACTCAAGTCCACTTGCGTGCAAAAATTGTTTTATATATATACATATATATATATATAGAAATGCTCAGGTCCCTCCGGAGGGACGGGAGCAACCGTCCAAACTTCACTGTTTGTGATGGTTCCCGGTGGAATTTTTCGATGAAACTTTTTGAGCATGTTCCTCATGAAGTCTAGTTTGTCCATACCAAATTTCAGCTCAAAATTCGACCGGGAAGGCAGTCAAATAAATTCTTGAAGCTTACTGCACATTCTGCGCTTATATAAAGTGCAGTAAGTTTCAAGAATTTATTTGACTGACTTCCCGATCGAATTTTGAGCTGAAATTTGGTATGGACAAACTAGACTTAATGAGGAACATGCTCAAACAATTTCATCGAAAAATTCCACCGAGAACCGCCCCAAACAGTGAAGTTCGGACGGCTGCTCCCGTCCCTCCGGCTGGACTTGAGCAGTCCTCATATATTCATAACAAATACTCTCTCGATCCCTCTTTTCCAATATTAACGTGACAAGATATCTTTGATAGGACTAAAATACAGTCAAAATACACAAATAAGATCATCAATGTTCGTTTGCTCCTTAAAATAGGATTCACTCACTTATAATTGTGAAAGTTTATACGTAGTATTTTTAATAAGATCAAATAAGTCATAAGTCTTGTTTTGAGAATGAAACATCACTAATCCTATCCATACACTTTATCTCTTAAAATAGGATTCACTCACTTATAATTGTGAAAGTTTATATTTTTAATAAGATCAAATAAGTTGAGAATGAAACATCACTAATCCTATCCATACACTTTATCCGTCTTTTATTTAGGTCCTATGGAGCAATTTATTTATCTTTATTAAAAAGTGAAAATTGTTTGAGAGCGGATATGATGAAAAAGATAAAAATGAAAATAATATCAGGTCTACACGTACCACTTACTATACGTCTTCATGAGACAAGACTTACACCATAATGCATGTATTTAACTAATTTTACTTTATTTAATTCAATTCTTTTTTAAAATGCATTTTTTTTTCTGCTCAAAGGACCTCGGTTAGTTCTCTTGCTGCTCAATTAGTCAATTTTCCTCAGTTGATTTGCTTCTGCTTTTTTTTTAAACAAGGTGTTGTCATATCCGTTGTTTGATAATGTTGCTGCAACTTTTTAATCTAGGTGCCATGATTATTGGAAAACAACCCTCCATTTTACAAGTGGAGCGAAACAAAAGATTATACAAGTAATGTGCTCTCTATAATTGTCATTGTCGTAGTCACACGTCATGACGATATGGTTAGTGATTCAGTGATTGTGTACTTTGAATTTATTGGACTTAATGACAATGATAATTTAATCATTAAATCATTAACTAATGTTCACTTACAACTTAATTAGAAATGTGACGTAGTCATTTAATAAAAAAATGACGATCATTACGCTGGAGAATAGTAGTCCTTGTCATTAAGACGTCTATTAATACGTTTTTTCTGTCAATTTTTTCATATTGATTGTGAAATAAATTTATGTTAATAAATGATGTTTTTAATAGACATTATAATCCAAGAATAAAACTATATCGATTATTACTTGATTCAGATTGTGTATTCAACATACACAATAAACAACTTCATATACAAATATCATTCAATCCAGATAGACATCTTAATCCAGATAAACATTTTAATCCAGATAAATATTTTAATCCAGACAGGATTTAATAGAAAAAGGTAAGCACCCCCTTTGTTGGATTACTATAAAGACTTGAAAAGAAAGTTTTATGTGATTTTTTTTATCATAGTAATTTAAGTAAAATTGGAATTTGGGATGGGTTGGACTGTCGAAGCCTGCATGCTCTCCACCTATGCCAATGGGCAGACTTGGTGGCGGTTCCGATCCCGGACTGGCTGGGATGGTCCCGGACGGGCTTGCCTTTCTCTGATACCATAACAATTGTTGAACGAAGAAATCTATTGAATGAAGAAGATGATTGAAAGTTTCGCAGAGCTCAGGAGCGTGTTTTCAACAGTACATGAATGAGAAAGCTTGACCTAATTTACAAGGATCAGAAGATATATATGCCTGTTTACAAAGTATAACTAAAGTCCAATGGAAATAATAAAAGGCCCAAAAGACTTAATGAAAAATAAGCTGGCCCAGATAATTATTCTTGATACTAACCTTTAATTTTTATCTAAAAGTATTGAGGAGTATAAAGTAAATCACATAACTAAATTTTTTTACTACCAGTGAACTAGTCCAGAGAAAGAACGGATCCTTTAATTTATAGGAGTATCTAAAAAGCTCAAATGTAGTTAAAATCCTTATTGGCAATGTTTGGTTAACAACGTTTTACCCTCGAACGCCGTTTTTGTTCAATAGGAAATTAAACGCGGGAAAATGCAGCATTTAGATTCCAAACCGCTGAAATACAAATAAGTCCATATGTATTTTTCTCATATATAATGGCTGTTATAAAAATGAAAATGAGTATAAAATTTCCAGATTACAAAAACTAGAATACCCGACGTTTTGAATAAATATCGTATGGGTATGGTTTATTTCTTATTCTAGATATAATGCTTGGAAAATATATTTTAAATGCATAAATGGATAAATTATGTACATGTGGTTAATTTCCTTATCTTTAGCCAATCCAATTGTTTCATAAATATCCATGAGTAAATTAATCCTGACACCATCTTCACACATGTAGTTTCATCAAATTATTATAAAGGCAATTAATACTCCGTATAAAACTTCCATTCCTACCTCGTAAAACGAGCAGGATAAAATATAATTGAATCGGAGTAAACTATGATATGGAGTATAGGTAATCCGAATTTAATAAAACAGGTAACTGTCCAAATAATTTAGTTAGTTTAGTATGTTAGAATATTGAGAGATTATAGTTGAAACAGTTGACGGAATGGACCAAATTGAATTACCTATAAATTTCGTTTTTTTGGGCCGGATTAAGTATCTAGTTCAATACTTCAATGTACCAACATCCTTTACTGGAATGAGTTCCAAACCTGTGACCTCTTCATTGAGAGTGTCACAATGATGCCATCGAACCATAAGGTGTTTGACACCTATAAATTTCGTTGTATATGATTATTTATTAAACCGACAGAATGATAGATGTCGTCTAAAAAATAATGTCTAGTTATCCAGTAAGTTGGTAAAATTATGACTATAGAGACTGAATTAGCCGAATCTATTGATTTATGAAAAACTTGTATTAAAATATTTCTTATTAATAAAACAAAGTTTTTTTTATGAAAAATAGCTTAAACAATCTTTTAAAAAACTTTAGCCAACTTTGATCCACCAAAAAAGGAGTTTCAACCTTGCTTATTTCGATTATTGTAGACTTCATTGTGAGAATTAAAAAAATATGTTTGATAAAAAAATTGTGATATATAGGTCAATAATGGAGATCACCAAAAAGGTTATAGAAATGCTTCTTTTCTCTAATTTTAGTCATGCAAAACAATAAAAGCACGCTATTCTTTTGAATTCTTAATACTACTAGTATTTAGTACTTCCTTTATCCCACAAATCTTGGAGTCCGTTTGGTAATATTCAAATCAGTTGTATTGATTGACTCTGCTGAAATTTATAAAATTTTGATTGAAGTGGCTAATTCTGCTGATATTTAAAATATATGAAGTATGTTATTAATACAATAAAGAAAAAATTATATGAAAATAGCTAAAATGATCATCTACAGTAACTTAATTCAATACACCCAAAAAAGAAACTCCAGCCTTACTTTTTCTTATTATAATATATTTCACTGAATCAAAAGTTACGTGTTTGATGAAAAAATTAACTGATAAAGGAAAAAAATAGGATTACCAATGCGCTCCTTATGAGACAAATCTTAATTTGTTTCTCCGATGAATTGTAGATAGTCAACTAGTTACTCTCTTCAATTCGCTTTGTAAAGTTTTAATACCGCCAAGCAAAGCAGTAATTTTTAAATCACATCGGTCAAAGCAAGTTAATAACTTTAAAGTTATTAGGAGCTCCTCTCTCTAGGTGGGCGTGGGCGCCTTCTAGGGTTAGGAGTTGTTTTTCTTCGCTTTCGTCTTCGATGAAGAGCAGCTTTCTTGTGCGGCTTTCGTCCGTCTTTCGTGAGGCTCTCTTCTTGGCAGACCGCATCGCCTATATGACGGCCAAAGGTTCTATACCGCTAGAAACATGTGGAGAATTACGAGGATGTTGTTCATTATTGAGATCAGAAGGTCGGGGACGAAGCATGTGGCTAGGGGCTGAAAGCCTGAAACAGATCTGGACCGGAGGCAAGGAGCGGAAGAAGCCACAATACTCTTGGACCGCCCCCCTCCTGAATCGCCGCAATGGAGTGCGGGAGGGTTTAAGGTTTGGAAGTAGTATTTTAATTTTACTGTTTGCATGCAATTTATTTTTCATTATCAGACTGTTTATTTTTCTATTGGTTACTTTTATTGTTGTAAAACTCTTGCATTAGGATTGAGTGATAAGAGGTCTGCTTTAACCGCCGTTGAATCATTTATGCCCGTTATATGATCAGCGAGTTATATTTCTTTTTTGGAGGTGATTTACTTTAAGTTTGGTTCGAGGGCTGGCGGTTGCATGCGTTACTTTTATCATTTTACCCCTATATGAATGTTGTGATATCAATGTAAGCCATTTGTTTTGATGATAAAAAAAGTACTACTACCCCAAGTATTTGTTGGGAATAACAGGATCGTGCTAATATGAGAGAAAAACACTTCTATTACTTTCAAGAATAGAAAGAAGAGACATACAAGCTCTAACTAAAAACTCTCAAAAAACAACACCTCACATATCTCTCAAGGATATTCACAACTCTTCTTGGTTGTGCTATGATGATCTATTCTAATTTACTTGATGATAGAAAGACTCTCCAAGCTCTCTATTTATAGCACCAAAACTAGGTACTATGAAGGTGGAAGGAAGCTTCAATGGTGGTTGGAAGGAAGGTCACTCCTAGGTGTATGGAAGATCCCTTTGTCATTCTTGCACATGGAGGAAACTTCAGGGAAATTAGGAATTGGATTCTTCAATTTGCTTGTACTTGGATATGACCTGGAAATTGAATTCTTCAATTCTCCCCTTCCAGGCATATTCAAAACAAGCATCTCGACTATGTCTCTACACAGCTCTAGCTTATCCCGTGTCACCACCTTCGTCAGCATGTCTGATGGATTCTCCTTTGTATTGATCTTCACTAGTCTCAACAGTTGTTGATCAATCGTCTCTCGTATCCAGTGATACCGAACATCAATATGCTTTGTACGAGAATGGTACATGGAGTTCTTGCTTAAGTCTAAAGCACTCTGACTGTCACAATGTACCTTGTACTCTTTCTGCTGGATCCCAAGTTCTTGGAGAAAGCGCTTTAGCCACAACATTTCCTTACCTGCTTCAGCGGCAGCAATGTATTCTGCTTCTGTTGTAGATAAAGCGACACACTTCTGCAATCTTGATTGCCAAGAAATGGCTCCCCCTGCAAAAGTGTAAATATATCCTGAAGTAGACTTTCTACTATCAGTATCTCCGGCCATATCAGCATCTGTGTAGCCTTCCAAGACTGGATCAGCTCCTCCGTAACAAAGGCATAACTTCGTGGTACCTTTCAAGTACCTGAGAATCCATTTGACTGCCTCCCAATGCTCCTTCCCGGGGTTAGAGAGAAAACGACTCACTGTACCCACTGCCTGTGCGATGTCTGGCCTTGTGCATACCATGGCGTACATCAAACTCCCAACTGCTGAAGAATATGGAACTGCTGACATCTCCCCGATCTCTTCCTTGGATGTAGGGCATGTTCTTTTGCTCAACTTGAAGTGATTCGCAAGTGGAACACTTACTGGTTTGGCATCATTCATGTTGAATCTCTCAAGTACTCGTTCAATGTACTTCTCCTGAGATAGCCATAACTTGCGATTCTTCCTGTCTCGAGTGATCTGCATCCCAAGAATCTGTTGAGCCGGTCCTAAGTCTTTCATATCAAAAGACTTAGAGAGTTCTTTCTTCAGCTGGTTTATCTTCACTGCATCTTTCCCAACGATCAACATGTCGTCTACATATAGTAGAAGAGCAATGAAAGTACCGTCTGAAAGTTTCTTGATGTATACACACTCATCCGCAGTAGTCTTCTTGTAGCCTTGACTCTTCATGCATGAGTCAAACTTCTTATTCCACTGCCTTGGTGCCTGCTTCAAGCCATACAAACTCTTAGATAATTTACACACAAAATTATCATTTGAGTTCTCAAAACCTTTCGGCTGCTGCATGTAGATTTCTTCTTTCAAATCTCCGTGAAGAAATGCTGTCTTCACATCCATTTGTTCAAGCTCCAAGTTCATACTTGCTGCCAAGCCAAGTATAACTCGGATTGAGGTCATCTTGACAACTGGTGCAAAGATCTCATCAAAGTCAATTCCTTTCTTCTGCTGGAACCCTTTGACAACCAACCGAGCTTTGTGTTTCACCACTTGTCCGTTTGCATCCTTCTTCAGCTTGAACACCCATTTGTTCCTCAGTGCCTTCTTCCCTTTAGGAAGTTCTACGATCTCATAAGTTTGATTTTTCTGCAGAGATTCTAACTCATCCTGCATTGCTATTAGCCATTTTTCTTTATCCTTATGAGATACAGCTTCTTGAAAACTCTCTGGTTCTCCATCTTCAGTTAACAAAAGATATTCAGATGATGTGTACCTTGTCGATGGTATATGCCCTCGTTCAGATCTACGAACAGTAGGGACCATATGAGAAGAGCTACCATCATCTGTGTCTGGCGGGGTGGATTGTGTCTCCCCTTGCCCTGCACTCTCTTCTGTCTCCTCGTGTTCTTCTGCTTCTGAGTTATCTTCATGCACTTCGTCCTCTTCTGGTGCTTCATTTGAAACTTGAGCACCCTCATTTGACTTCCGAGACATTGTGGGTTTTTCAATGTCTTCTATTGTCAAATCTTCGTGGAACACAACATCCCTACTTCTGAACACCTTTTTCTCCTTAGGATCCCATAGCCTGTATCCAAACTCTTCATTTCCATAGCCAACGAAAATGCATGGGATAGTTCTTGCATCGAGCTTCTGCCTGAGCTCTTTGGATACATGTGCATATGATGAACAACCAAATACTCTAAGATGTGAGTATGTAGGATCCTTACCTGTCCATAACCTCTCTGGAACTTCAAAGTTCAGTGGTACCGAAGGTGATCGGTTGATAAGGTAGCATGCGGTGTTGACTGCTTCTGCCCAGAATGACTTCGGAAGCTTAGCCATATTCAGCATGCTCCGGACACGCTCCATGATAGTCCGGTTCATTCTTTCAGCAACGCCGTTGTGCTGAGGGGTGCGTGGTACTGACTTCTCATGTCGAATGCCATATTCTCTGCAATATGCATCGAACGCCTTGGATGTGTACTCGCCTCCATTATCAGATCGGAGACATTTCAGCTTCTTTCCCGTTTCACGTTCCACCAAGACGTGAAATGTCTTGAAGCACTCAAATACCTGATCTTTCGTAATCAGGAAATACACCCACACTTTCCGAGAAGCATCATCAATAAAAGTCAGAAAATATCTGCTTCCACCGATTGATTCCACCTCGAAAGGACCACAGACGTCGGAGTGTACCAAACTTAACAACTCTGATCTTTTAGCTGAAGTAGAACTAAATGATACTCTATGATGCTTACCAAACAGACAATGACTGCAAGGACCCAGTGCAGCATTCTTGTCGATGTTGATAAGGTTCTTCTTGATCAAGGTAGTCAGCCCTTTCTCACCGATGTGGCCGAGTCTCAGGTGCCACAGATTCTGAGAAGTCTCCTCAGCAATGTTGAGGCTATCCGTACAAATCCTTAAATGGGTTTTGTACAATGTGCCACAAACATGTCCTCGAGCGATTGTCAAAATGCCCTTTGACACTTTCCAGGTGCCCCTGTTAAAGTAGTTTTCATACCCCTGTTCGTCAAGACATACCACTGACAGGAGATTGAGACGAAGGTCTGGAACATGTCTGACATCCTTCAAAGTGATTGTGCTCCCAGAACTCGTCTTTATTTGTACATCACCAATTCCAGCTATTTCAGATGAACTGGAATTGCCCATCTTCACTGCTCCAAAGTCTCCAGCTTTGTAAGTTGTGAAGTAGTACCTGTGGGGAGTAACATGGTAGGATGCTGCAGTATCTACCACCCATTCAGTGTCCTCTCTTGAGACGTGAAGGCATGTTTCATCATTGATAGTACAATACGCCACATCACCTGAGATTGTGATGAGCGCTTCACCACCCTTGCTCTTCACTTGAGAATTGCTCTTGCCTCGCTCCTCTAGCAATTTGTAGCAATTCTTCTTCATGTGACCCTCTATACCGCAATGGTGGCAGGTATAAGAAGGTTTCCGGCCATCTGATGATCTCCCCCGACTTTTGCCCCTGCTTTGCCATTTCCCTCTACTGTTTCTTTGTTGTTTTCCTTGTGATCTTCCTCTATTCTCTGTCACAAGGGCATGAGTCTCATCTGTGCTCATGTCTTTCCTTCTTGCCTCCTCATTGAACAATGCATCCTTGACCACAGACATGGTAAGTTTGCCATCTGGGGCTGAGTTGCTGAGAGTAACAACTAGTGTCTCCCAACTATCAGGAAGGGAACTAAGAAGCAGTAGAGATTGCATTTCATCTCCAAGTGGCATTTCTACACAAGATAGTTGATTTACCAGACTCTGAAATTGACTAGTATGTTCGGCAACAGAAGTTCCACTTTTGAGCTTCATATTAACAAGACGCCTCATCAGTAGGGCCTTGTTCCTAGCGGTCTTGGCCTGGTACATATCTTCTAACTTTTTCCAAAGGGCATAAGCATCGGTTTCTTGTGCAACATGGTGGAAGACACTATGGTCAATCCATTGTCGGATTTGACCAATAGTTTTTCTATTAATTTTCTTCCATTCCGTTGACTTAGCCGGGTCAGGATTAATACCTTTCATCTCTATTGGATCAAAAAGGTCTTTACAACTAAGGAAATCATCTATCCGAGGTTTCCATAGCGTGTAGTTGGTAGCCGTGAGCATAATCATAGCTCCGGAAGATGAAGTTGACTCGTCAAAGGTCATTTTCACCTTCTAAATAATTTTGATTTTCTGTTTCAGAAAAATCGGAGCAGAATTTCGAAAAACGGGCAGCACCAATGCGTCCGGAACGGCCGAAAATGGTGGGTAGGCACTTTCGGGGTCAAAATACAATTTTCGAAAAATTATAGGTGGAAATTATAATTTTCCAAAAATTGAGGGACCAAACTGCAAATTTTCAAAATTACAAACTGACCGGCGACGTGGCAGATGACGTGTCAGTGACGTGGCGGTGACTGGGCGATGACGTGGCAGCTGACTGGGCTGGGACTGCACATGTGGCGCTGACGTGTCGCTGACGCAGCTCTGGCTGGCTGATGACGTCAGCGATGACGTCAGCTGTCTTCAACCTCTGTCTGCGCGTGATGACGTCAGCATGACGCAGGCAGTTTTTGGCCGGCGTTTGGCGGCGCGTACGGCAGCTTCCGGTGGCCAAAAAATTCCCCAAAAATACCAGTTTTCTCGTCTCGACGAGACGAATCCAACGGTATATTCCGATTGCAATTACGAGCAATAATGAAAAACTCGATTTTTCAGACAGTAGAATTTTATCTGAAAAAATCTGGAAAAAATATCAAAAGCTCAACCAGGCTCTGATACCACTTGTTGGGAATAACAGGATCGTGCTAATATGAGAGAAAAACACTTCTATTACTTTCAAGAATAGAAAGAAGAGACATACAAGCTCTAACTAAAAACTCTCAAAAAACAACACCTCACATATCTCTCAAGGATATTCACAACTCTTCTTGGTTGTGCTATGATGATCTATTCTAATTTACTTGATGATAGAAAGACTCTCCAAGCTCTCTATTTATAGCACCAAAACTAGGTACTATGAAGGTGGAAGGAAGCTTCAATGGTGGTTGGAAGGAAGGTCACTCCTAGGTGTATGGAAGATCCCTTTGTCATTCTTGCACATGGAGGAAACTTCAGGGAAATTAGGAATTGAATTCTTCAGTATTTTGTTGTTTACAACACGTTGTATACATATTCATGTGGTTTCTATTTAATTGGAAGCTAAGGAAATAAGAAAATCACATTATAGATTTAATAAAAACAGAGAATAAGAACTTTTAATATACCGTCAATGCAAGGGTTATCGTATTACTCATTATTCATCTTCATCCTTTTTTTTGGCAGTTAAAAAATTGAATTAACTTATGAAGAAAGTTAAAACTCATGTGATTAATTTTAGTTTTGTGATTAGGCATACTGCAATTACATGATCCCACTTTCTTTACCATCTTGCTAAAACAAAACCGCTAGTAGTAAGTGACGTAGTTACTAGACACTAGTTAGTACGTACGAGCAGTTTATAAAAGTTGATCTTAAAGATCTAGAGACTAGAGTTCATTTAGCCAACAAAACATGACGAATTCATCTAGAGGCAAATAATAATTTTTTTACAATGATGAAGTTGTAAGACAGTAAGACACATTATACATACTAGTATAAAACTATATAGTGTCTCCGTTCTCTAATTAAATACTTCGTATTACCCCTTCTCACTATAATTGTCATTTTTCGTATTACCCCTTCTCACTATAATTGTCATTTTTTGTCCGTTTCATTAATTTTGTCACATATCATATTTGGTAATTAATATTTGCGTGACTTAATTCAATATTATTTTATTCTCACTTTATTAATTCATTATGAATCACATAATTCCACTTTTTTTTAAAAATCACACCACTTCCTTGCAATATTTGAGGGGCGGAGGTAGCAGTTTTGATCAAACAAAAAATGTTACGGGGGTGAAAATAATTAGGATGTTTTTACTTGGACTGTAATTTGCTGGTCTGGTCTGGTCTGTTCTGATCTGGTCTGGTCTGGTCTGAACTGGTCTGGTCTGGTCTGGTAAGGTCTGGTTTCTTTGTATTTTTATAACTATCAAAGTCTGGTCTGGTCTGGTCTGGTCTGGTCTGGTCTGGTCTGGACTGGTCTGGTCTGGTCTGGTCTGGGACAAATTACAGTCCAAGTAAAAACATCCTTAATCAGCATATGTAAGACTAATTAATTGCACACAAAAGAAGTAATAATACGGAAAAAAGAGAGAAATGGGTATTGGGTAGGAACATGACAGTGTTAACTACAACCAAGCGTCTTCGAACCTGGACGCTCTTTGGAAAAGTGTCCCCACAAAGGGTTGCTAAAATAATAGGGAAAGTTTACCTCTCTGCTTGGGTTTGGTTCAGTAGGCATTAATAAATAAATTGAAGAAAATGGAAATGGGTAATTATTTAGCCCATATATCTCAAAAGGGCCCTGCTCTCATCTAAAAGATCGAGCAAGTGAAGCTGAAATATAATTCTCCCAAGGCATTTGCATTTAATATTAGAGAATGGATATCCTTCGAGAACCGCGCCATATCATCAACGGCCATTCATAGGAATAATTGTTATTCACCTATACCTGTTCTTCTCTACTACTTGCAGTACTTTTAGCACTATTTTGAATGGTGACATAATATGATAAGACCATTAATAAATCATTAGGAAAAAGGAAATATTGATGACACCTCATTCTTGAAAGTCTTAAATTGAACGAATTCTCAAAGCACCAATGAATTGAGTCAAGAATGGATAAGTATATGCAAAGAACACTAAATGCTAATGAATCGAGTCAAGAATGAATGAGTATATGCAAAGAACATTAAATGCCAAGAGACAAAATGCATAAGCAAGATAAAAGTGACCATTAATCAAATCCTTAAGCAAAGAGATATATAGTAGAGTAACTTGAGCACACAATTTTCATTTTTCTCATCCATATCCTCAGGTCACCTCCCTCTCAAATTCTAACCTCAAAACACGATCAAAAGGACTTATTGGGATGGTTAATAAAGTAGGTGAACGATACGGGTGGTCGGGTGTAGGAGTAGTCAAAGATCATCAAGGTGCAATTGAGGTCCTTACCCGAAGTGGTATCATTTGAGGCTCCGACTTTGGAGGACAAACTATGGTACACACTCAGGCTCAACCATCCAGCGGTGTATACCTTTAATGTGCAATCGGGATTTTTGGTTCAAAGTAGGGTGAGTAAGGCTTCTTTTTCTTTTCTTTTGGAGAACGGCTAAATCTAAAAAAAGTCATTGATATGCTTAATTATTGATTTGTTGGGTTATCTCATATAAAACATACTCCACTCTCGCAAAATAAGATTAATGAGTAGTAGATCGCTCTCCATGGAGATGAAATCCTTAAGGATATTTTTCTCAAACCAATAACTTCAGCACAACCTGAAAAAATGAAGAGCATTAATATTCAAAAAGCTATCAAGCTCACCCTAGTTATTAGTAATGGTTTGCTTCACATTTTATTATGGAAACATATATTGGGAGTTATTCAATTTATTCTATTTATGATATGTGATATCTTATTTTAGGCATATACTTATTGTCTTACCATTTTAGACTAGTCATCTTTCTCATATATACGTTTGATTACGCGACTTCGAGACACACACCATTCATGATAGTCCATTCCCCGCTCCATCCTCTTCATCGGCCACCTCAGGTACACCGTTTCCTATAACTCATTATGTTAATTGTGATAAATTTTCTTCATGCTACCGTATATTTCTGAATGCTCTCTAAGTTAGCTAAGAACCAACCTCTTTTAAAGAGGCCATCCGTGATGCTGGTTGGCGTGATGCTATGCGTGCTGAAATTCATGCTCTTGAGGAAAATTACACATGGACCATGCAGCCCCTTCCGCCTGGAAAACGGGCATAAGCTGTCGTTAGGTATATAAAATCAAATACCACTCTGACGGCAGCATTGAACGACTAAAAGCTTGTTTGATTATCTTTGGCAACCGTCAGATTGAGGGACTTGATTACAATGAAACTTTTGCACCAGTGGCAAAAATGGTCACGGTCCGAGCTTTCTTGGCTGTTGCAACATCCAAGAATTGGGAAATTCATCAAATGGATGTTTATAATGCTTTCCTGCATGGTGACTTGGATGAAGACATTTACATGCAGGTACCACCAGGTTATGCCGCATCTGATCCGTCTCTTGTATGCCGTTTGCACAAATTTCTTTATGGTCTGAAGCAAGCTCCTCGTTGCTGGTTTGCTAAATTAGTGGGTGCTCTTAAAGGCTATGGTTTTCTTCAGTCCTATGCTGATTACTGTCTATTCACATGCACTAGAGGATCCACTCATGATGCTACCGTTCATTTTAAATCTTGTCTCAGTGACTGTTTTCACATGAAGGACTTGGGTCCCATCCGGTATTTTCTTGGGATAGAAGTTGCCTGCAGTCCCTCGGGCCTCTTCCTCACTCAGCGTAAATACACTATGGTATACTATCTGAAACGGGTCTTCTAGAAGCCAAACCTGCTGATTCTTCTATTGAGAAAAATCATTCACTAGCCAAAATTCATGGCCCTCCTCTGTCTGATCCTGAGCTTTATCGCCGCCTCCTTGGACGGCTTATTTATCTGGCTGTCACACGTCCCGATTTGACATATGCTGTTCACATTTTATCTCAGTTTATGCAGGCTCCTTGTCAAGCTCACTGGGATGCCGCACTTCGTGTGGTCCGTTATCTAAAAGGCTCTCCTGGACAGGGCATTCTTCTTCATGCTGATAGCGATCTTTCTCTTACTGGATGGTGCGATTCCGAATGGGCGACCTGCCCGCTTACTCGTCGTTCCTTGTCTGGATGGTTGATTTTTCTTGGGCATTCTCCTATTTCATGGAAAACTAATAAGTAATCTACTGTTTCTCGTTCTTCCGCCAAGGCAGAATACCGAGCTATGGCTGCCGCCACATGTGAACTTAAATGGCTCAAGGCTTTACTTCTCAGTCTTGGAATTAATCATGACACATCTATTCCGTTGTTCTGTGATAGTCAGTCTGCCATACATATTGCTCAGAATCTTTTTTTTCGTGAGCGCACTAAACATATTGACGTGGATTGTCATTTTATTCGTGACGCTATCAAAATAGACCTCATTGCCCCTAGCTACGTTCCGACAACTATGCAACTTGCAGATATATTTACTAAAGCTCTTGGGAAGACTCGATCAGTTCCACTTTCCTATGCGCAAGCTGGGCATTCTGAATCCCCATGCTCCAACTGGGGGTGGGGGTGGGGGGTGGGGGTTATGGAAGCATATATTGGGAGTTATTCTATTTATGATTGTGATATCTTATTTTAGGCATATACTTATTGTCTTACCCTTTTAGACTAGTCATCTTTCTCATATGTACATTTGTAAGCCTTGGTGTTATACAGAAGAATAATAAACCAATATCATTCTTGCTTTACCTTTGCCGTTCATCACATTTACTTGGTGACTTTGTAGTGATTCGTGTCATTTCATTTGTAAGAAGCTCTGACCACCTTCAGTAATGATATATCATATCAAAAAATCTTTTAATCATAAGTAAAATCAATTTCTTTCAGATTCGAAGCCACTAACCCATTAAACTCATCCTACATATTTCACACTCACAACCTTGACCTCTAACCTCACTCAAACATAATTGGTACTAAGCGAATAAGGCATCAATAGCATTTTGAAGCGATAATGTCGTATTTCTTATCAAATGATTACTAGACTCATCAACCATCGATAAAGAACATCACCTCCAACTTTTTAAAAATAAAATACTCCATAACTATTTTTTGGGAACACAAAAAATATTAGGAGACACTATTTGATTATTTCCAGAAACAATTTTGAATATTTTTTTTATACACAGTCTTTTTGATATACTGTTGGACTCTTCAGTTTCATTTTGGCTATGAAATGGCAGGTTTTGTTGTAACAAAAACCCAAAAAGATTTACTAAAGCATTTGATTGGATGTATTACTCATTTTTCATAATCCTACTTTGCTTGTGAAAAGCAACAGCTATGAATTTATTTTGTTCCATCAAATCAAACAAAATTAGATTGATATATTTTTTTCCTACCATTTTTTGAGAAAATCTTGGTCATGAGGTTGACATGGTCCTCTTCTAAACATATATTTCCTTCTTATTTCATCTATTTATTTAGGATGATATTATGATTTCCCC